GGGGGCCTCGTGGGGGCCTCTTGGGGGCCTCGTGGGGCCTCTGGGGGCCTCTTGGGGGCCTCTCGGGGGCTTCTTGGGGGCCTCTTGGGGCCTCTTGGGGGCCTCTTGGGGGCCTCTTGGAGGCCTCTTGGGAGGCTTCTGGGGGCCTCTTGGGGCCATCTTGGGGCCTCTTGCGACCTCCTCAGAAGCGCAAAGGAGCGCTGCCCCCTGAGAAGGACAAAATGAGCCCAAAATGTTCGTAAAATCAATGATTTTGCTATGAAGGAAGATGAGCGCGGCCCCCTCAGGAGGCCAAAATGGGGCCAAAACCGTAGTAAAATCAATGATTTTAGCTTCGAAGAAGAGGAGAGGGACCTATCTCCGCCCCCCCGTCGGGGCCAGAATCCTCGTGAGGGTCGTCGTTTTTTAGCCCTCCCAGGAGTCGGAAAAGACCCCTCCAACGACCCGCGGCCCCCCCTCTCCAGGCCCAGGGGGAGGGGGGAGGGGGAGGGGTACACCCCTCCCCGAAGGGGAAGAAGTGGGGTTGAGGACAGAGCGGGCTCTCTAAACCACTCACGCCCAAAGGGCTGGTGGGACTTACCCCAACTCGCTCCAGCAGCTTCACCTCCTGCACCAGCAGCAGCGAGCTCTCCCGCCTGCCCCAACAATTCCACCTCCTGCATGCCCCGCTTGCTCGACGTCTTCGCCCTTCGGGCGTCTGGCTTCGAGCTCTCCGCCTAGTTGCGACCTTCGGTGCGACGCAGGCACAACCCACGGCGCCGACGCAGGGGGGCGGCAAGGTGCCTCCCTTCGCGGCTGCCTCGCGACCCCGAGGTGGCCATCACCGCGGTCTTGGCGCGGCGCCGCATGGCGTGGCGGTGGGCACCTTGTGCTCGGACATTCCGTCCCTTGTCCTTCAACACCGCCAGCCTGGACGCTGACCGACCGCAGATCGCTGCGTTTACCGACCTTGGTGTCACCACGGTGCCTCCCCCTTTGAGGTCCGCCTTGCCGAAGGTCGTTGCTCTGAGTGCGTGGTGGCGGGGCGCGGGGGTGGTGCAGCGCCCAACGCGCTGCCGTCCCCAGGTGGCTAGGCAAGCGCGCGCGCGCCAAGCTGGGAGTGCAAAGCTCCACCGGAGACGTGGCCGCACGGACACCGACACGTCCGTGCCGAGGGCGCCCTCGTGCGGAGCTCGCTCCACGCTTCTGCCGAGCGGGACGGAGTGTGCTCCTGTCTTTGCCGCGCGGCACGGGCTCGTGCGTCTCATAGGACGTGCCGCCACTGCCGCGTAAAATCGGGACGTGAGAGGAGCAACGGGGTGATCAAGCTACCTGGACTGCCGGCTGGCAAAACGGTTTGGGTCACGAGAGCAGTATCAGAGGGCGACCCCGATACCGCCCGCGATTCAAATACGATGCTGGACTCGGGGGGCATTATGCACTTCGTTCGGTATGCAGGAGCCAAGGCTAATCAGCAGGGCTAGGGAATGGAGACCATTGCTCACGCGCAGCCTCCCAAGAAGGTCACGGCCCAGGCTGTACAGTACTGGTGGATAACCCTGGCTTCTTGCCTTCTTGCAGCTTCGAGGCGACAGCTCCAGGCGATGTCGAGTAAGTTTTGTGAACTGCTCGGCTGCTTTCCACAAGCATCCGCGGCTTCTTCCATGACAGGCGGCGCCGGTTTTCCAAACCGGGAGCCATTTCGATGACGACTAAATTTTGCAATGCGTTTCCTTCTGGGTTGCCCAGAGACCAGGCAACAATAATGTGTCGATGAAGCAGAGTGCAGACTAACGTTGCCTCTGTCTCTCTGTCTGTCCGGCTGTTTGTATGTGTTACTGTATGTATGTATGTATGCATGTATATATATATATATCTATCCTCTCTTTTTGTTATTTTCTCTCTCTCTCTCTCCTTCGTTCACTCTCTCTCTCTTGCACTCGTTGTATTGTTTGATGATTTCTCTCTCCCTCTCTCTCACTTGCTCTTTTTGGTGTTCTCTCTCTCTCTCTCTTTCTCTCTCGGTCTTTATTTGTATGTTTTTAGTGTTTTTTTTTTCTCTCTCTCTCTCTCGCTCTATCTCTCCCTGTATCCCTCTACCTCTCTCCCTGTCTCTCTTAGTCCTCTGCTCCCTCTCTCACTAATTTCCCTCTCGTTCTCTATCCCTGCCCTGCTTTGTTCTTGTCTCTACCCTTTTCCATTCCGCCTTTCCCTCTCTCCTCCAAGCTCCTCCCTCTTTCTCCTCTTCCTCATCCTTCTCCTCCTCGCTTCTCCTTCTCCTCCTCCTCCTGCTCTCTCTCTCTCTCTCTCGCTCTCTCTTTGTCTCTCTCTCTCTCTCTCGCTCTCTCTTTCTCTGTTTTATTTGTGTTGTTCTCTCTCTCTCTCTCTCTCCTCGTATTCTTACCTTTCTCCTTCTGCCTATCTCGCTGCTCCCTGCGTTCTGGCGCCCCTTGCTCCAGAAACCGCAGGTATCCAGCGCTTTTTGACGTAATGTATTCGCGCGACCGCCGTTTGGGCACCCCCAGGTGGCACAGCAGCAGGCCTCGCGCATGCAGCGCGTGCGCCAGGCCGAATGCGAGGCGCTGCGGCAGAAGCTGGAAGACGGAAGGCGCATCCGCGCTTTTGCAAGGATGGTGATGGTGCTGTTGTTGTTGTGGCTGTTGCTGCTGCTGCCGATGATGATGATGATGATGCTGCTGATGATGATGCTGCTGATGATGATGACGATGACGATGGCGATGACGACGACGACGACGACGATACTGCTGATGCTGATGATGCTGGTGATGCTGATGATGATGCTGATGATGATGATGATGATGATGATGATGATGATGATGATGATGATGATGATGATGATGATGATGATGATGCTGATGATGATGATGATGATGATGATGGTGGTGGTGATGATGATGCTGAGGGTGGTGGTGATGATGATGCTGATGACGATGACGATGATCATGAGGTTGCCGCAGAGAGACGATGCTGATGCCGATGATGATGCTGATGATGATGGTGATGATGGTGATGATGTTGGTGATGCTGATGGTGCTGACGACGATGATGTTGATACTGATGCCAATGCTGATGCTGATGCTGATTCTGATGATGACAATTATGATGATGAGGCTGCTGCTTCTGATGATGATGAGGCTGATGCTGATGATGCTGATGATGATGATGATGATGATGATGATGATGATGATGATGATGATGATGATGATGATGATGATGATCCACGCGGCTGAAGGGGTCAGGAGCTCCCTGCTCGCACTGCCCCTCGGACCGAGGCGTTTCCTTTGGCCCTGCGGTAGCAACGCTCGGATTCGTGCGCCTCGGCGGACAAACGCAGATTCTCTCGAGTGCCCTGAGCTGGCAACCGCCTCGGCCGAAGCAGACGATCGACAGATCCTGGCAGTCAGAGAGACTCAGCACGCGCGGCAGCAAGCACAGGCCTCGGCTGTCGAGCTGGCGCTGGTTCGCAGACTGACTGCACACCGCACCTGAGAAGCAGCTATATCCACGCACCAAGCCGCCCACGACGTGGTTGCTCCTCAGGCCTGCGGAGATCGAACCTGAGCGTGGGAAGACCTGCGCTCACGGGTCGCCCTCCACGTCGAGACAGACGAGCTGTGCCGAGGCGCGCCGAGCGCGCCAAACTACACTGAACGGACGGCGTGCAAGCACGCCGAGACGAGGAGAGCACGCGACTACACGTCTCCATCAGTAACGCAACTTGTCCTATGGCACCTGGCCTCCGACAGGACTGGTTGCATTGCCAATGGTTTCGGAGCCCGATCCCGAGTGAGGGCAAGCCTTCACCCCTGGTTCGGCTTCCGTTCGGAACGGAAAATATGGAAAGGCGCTCCGCGCCAGACAGATTGGCGAGCCAGGCTCGAGAGGCAGTGCGCAGAGCGAACAGCATACTGCAGGACAACACCTCACCACCAGCATCGCAATTCGCCTCTAAGGCACAGTGCCCAAACTGGACTGTTGCAGCGCCGCTGGCATCGGAACCCGATTCCATCTGTAGGCAAGCCAACGCACCTGGTACGGCTTCCGCTCGAAACGCGCCCACAGCTGGGTAAACCGCGGGCCGCCGAGCAGAAGAAGCATACCTCTGAGCCATCAGTGCAGCTCCTCCTCAAAGGCACCTGGCCGCACCGCCGAGGCCGTTGCATTGCCAGGGTTTCGGAGCCCGATCCTGAGCGAGGGAATTTCGCTCCTGGTTCGGCTTCCGTTCCAGAACGGGAAATATGGAGGGCGCAACCGCCAGACAGATTGGCGAGCAGGCTCGAGAGGCGTGCTCAAGAGATTCGCATAACGCCGACGAGCGAGGAAGCGGCACAACGCCTCACCTGCAGCAGCGCAACTCGTCCCGTAGGCTCCTGGCCAGACTGGACTGATTGCATTGCCGCTGGTAACGGAGCCCGATCCCGAGTGTAGGCGAGCCAACACCCTTGGTTCAGGATCCGCACAGAACTGGCGGAGTGGAGGGCTGAGCGCACCGTGCAAGCTGTGCGCGGGACAAACCGCACCACCAGCAGCGCAACTTGTCCCAAAGGCACCTGGCCAAACGCTGGACTGTTGCATTGCCGACGGTATCGGGCCCGATCCCGAGCGTGGGAAGACCTACGCACCTGGGCCAGGGCCCGAACTGATAAAGCTGACACTAGCCGTCCAACTGCCTGCGCATGCGGCGGAAAGGCTCTGGATCGCCGATGCTGCCGCTGCGTGCAGGCTGGAGCCCCCGCTTCAGACGGCCGAGCACCGCCTGCTGCCTCGCGTGCTTCGGGGCCTTCGGGCACTCCTTCGCGAGGCCCGCCATCCTCACGCTCTGCGTCGGGTAGCCGCACTTGAAGCAGAAGAGGTGGTTGCCCGCGCGCCACCATCGTGGGACTCGTGCGTGTCGATCTCCCACCATGGCGGCAGCGCTGACGGGGGTGGCGGTGGCGGCTGAGCCGCACGCTGCGCCGCGGGCTGGGCCGCGGGCCGCTGCCGTGTCGACGCCGCGGCGGAGCTGGAGCCCCCTCAAGCAGGTGCACCCGCTTCGTCTCCGCGATCGTCGCCTGCCGCCGCTGAGCCTTGCGAGCCGCTGGCCTGGCTGGAGAACAGAGCGGCGCCTGCCGTCAGGAGCGCCGCCGCCGTCGAGACCGCGCCCGAGGCGCCATGAGTGCCGGAAGAGAGCGACCCCGCGATGGCCTCGCCGCGGCCCGCGCACTCCTGGCATGCCCACGCAGTGTCGCCGTCCACGTCAAGCCAGGTGCCGTGGCGTCCACGCGCACGTCTCGGGCAGTCTGGGCAAGCGCAGCGGCTCCGCCGGCGGAGCTTACAGCCTCGCCAATCGCACCCCCCAGCTGCCAGGCCTGGCCCTTCATGGCCGCCATCTGCCGTGAGCTCAGCATCGCCCTCTTGCATGGCCGCCCCGATCCAGCGGAGGACCTCCTTAACAAGGCAGCCCTGACAGGCGCTGCGGTCCCGAACGCCCTCATCAGTCGGGCGCATGCTGGTTCTATCGAAGGCGCGCGCGTCAGCTCTGTGGTTGCCGCGCCGCTGCCAAGCCGCGATGCGCTCGGCCTGCGCGTCGGCCAGCGCAGCGTGGGCCTGCGCCTCGTGGAAGGCGACGTTGTCGAGGCCGACGTTGCCCATCACCGCCCGCAGGCGGACCCGGAGCTCCTTATGCGGCCGCTGCTATTGTACGCACCAGGCTTTGCCAGCAGCGACGCCGTCGACTAGCTGCTGGCAGTCCGAGGAGATCCTGGCGGGCGACAGGCAGTTCTGGATGCCCTCGATGGCCGCGCAGAGCTCCGCTGCCCCCGACTCCTGAGGGCGTGGCCACGGCAGGGGGCCGAACAGGCTGACCGCCTCGGCGTCCTGCCCCATCGCGACCACTGCCCAGCCGCCAAGCGCGAAGGCCAAGCTTGGGCCGGGGTCCACGACGCTGCCGTCGGAAAACGGATCCCCTGTGAGGGGTTGGCCGACAAGGTCCTCCCGAATCTCCTTCTGAGCCCCCCAGTCCTCCGCGGGCAAAGGCGGGGTCCGCCTGTGATCTGGGGCGGGGGCGCGCGACCAGAGTGGGTCCTCCGTCGCGTCGAGGTTGGCCATGTCGACGATGGTCCTTAAGTGCATGTCCTCGGGCGGCCGTCGCTCGTCGCCGTCGTCATCGGCCTCCCATTCCGCGCGCCCCAAGGCCGTGGCCGGGCATTGCCGCGCCAGGTGCCGCACCTTGCCGCGGGCACTGCAGCCCCAAGGGCACCGTGGGGACGAGGCCAGCGGTCTGTCTGCTTCGAACCCTCTGGCCACGGGCCACAGGAAGGCCGCCAGCGCGTTCTTGGCGGAGCTCATCTGCTTCGCCATCTGCTTGCTCATGCGCTTGCGGCGCAGCGCGCGCCTGGTGCTAGAAAGGGCACCCCCCCAGACAAGTGCTCGAGTCCTGGGTTCTTGCCCGCCTCGCGCCGCAGCGGGCGCCCACGACTGGCCGCGATGTGCGTGGCCAGAGTCGACGCGCCCAGCACCCTGAGGTCGATGTGCTGCCGCTGGTCGTTGAGGAGCATGCCGGGCCGCGCCGCTGTCCAGCCCGGGCGAAAGCACGCCAGCACGCGAGCCGAGGCAGGCCCTCGGCCAGCCAGCGCCTCGGGCCCCGCTTCTGCGAGCAGTGCCAGTGCCCCTGCGAACGCGCTGGCCGTTGCGCGTAGGTCGGCGCCGTCCGCATTGAACTGCGCCGCCTTGGAACAAGCGACGATGGGCAGCGTCTCGCGGCCCAATAAGGGGTCGCTGGATAGCCGCTTGCTGAGGGGGAAGCTGAGGCTGAGGCTCTTACCGGGCTCTTTGCCGTGGTGAGCGGCGCCCACCTGGCGCCCCCGCCGGGCCAACTGCGGGGGGGGCCAGCCCGCCGCGCCGAGGCCGTAGCGCGCGGCCGGGCGCAGGCCCGCGTTGGCCACGCGTGCGGCAGCAGGCGTCTCCTGAGAGCGGATGGCGCGAAGCCGCTGCAGCTGCGAGGCAGCCTTCGAGTGCGCGCCTCGAGGACTACGGAGGCATGGCCGTCGAGACAGTAATCCACCCCCAGGTTCTTGACCGAGTCCGCGATCGGGAAAGCGGAGCCGTCCATCTGCTTGGCGACCGGAGAGGCCAGCTCTGGCGAGCTGGCGATCAGCTCGCTCTTGGCCCCCGAAACATGTCAGCCCGAGGTCTGTAGCTGGGCGACCGCGACCCTGGTCGCCCGCGCCATGCATGCCGCGACCTGCGCCATGCAGCAGTCGTCGAGCATGGTTGCCAGCGTGACGCGAGGCTCGAGCACTCGCCACATCCTCGCGCGCTCGTCGGCGAGGGCCAGCAAGCCGCACTTGGGGGGCCTGCCTGCGTGCGAGCACCCTGCGATGAGGCCCGCGTCTAGCAGGTGGGCGTCGGAGGCGCTGCCGTCGAGCATGAAGCGCCGCTCGCCTGCGCGCGCGGTCAGGGCCATGCCCGGCAGGCCCCGCGGGTAGTTAGCCAGGATGCCGCGGTCCTGGATGATCGCCAAGTCGACGAGTTCGTGCGCCTTCCAGAGGTCGATGAGAGCCGCCGCAGCGCTCTCGTCTCGAGCGTGCGGGGCCTATGACCGCAGGG